AAGACTCTTATCTGCAATAAACCACCAGAACTCTGGAAGTGCCGCTGTGGCTCACGTGATAGAGCACTAGTCTTGAGATAAAGAGCTCAGGGATAGGGGCTGGGAAGGTGGCTCAGTGGTAGAGAGCTTGCCTTGCATGCCTGAGGCCCTGGGTTCGATTCCTCAGTCCCACATAAGCAAAAAGAAAAAAGCCAGAAGTGGCACTGTGGCTCAAGTGGTAGAGTGCTAACCTTGAGCTGAAGAGCTGAGGGACAGCGCCCAGGCCCAGAGTTCAGGCCCCATGACCAGACCAGACCCAAAAAAAAAAAAAAGCTCAGGGATAGTGCCCAGACCCAGAGTTCAAGCCTCATAACCCACAAAAGAACAACTAACTTTAGAATTGTCTAAAAAGAAAAAAGTGAGAATTTAGTGCTAGGTTCTTAATTCATTTATTGACATTCAAAGTTCAAACATTCGGGCTGGGAAGGTGGCTCAGTGGTAGAGCACTTGCCTTACATGCATGAGGCCCTGGGTTCGATTCCTCAGTCCCACATAAGCAAAAAGAAAAAAGCCGGAAGTGGCGCTGTGGCCCAAGTGGTAGAGTGCTAGCCTTGAGCTGAAGAGCTGAGGGACAGCACTCAGACCCAGAGTTCAGGCCCACGAATGGACCCCCCAAAAAAAACACAAAATAAAATCAAAGTTCAAACATTAAACCCCTTTTCCTACTAAGAGGAATTAATTAAAATTAAATACAACAAATTAAACACCCGTGCACCTGGTATGTGATACCTCATTAAAACACAGATTATACACCCACGAAAGTCCTATCAATTACATCTGATTAAGCTTATTACACCTTCTTACCCTGGGACCTTAGAACTCAGCACCCCCAGTTTCACAGTATGAACTGCAGGTTTAAGATACATTTATAATCTTTAAAGAGGATTAGCTTTCAGTGTTTACTGGTGACTGGAAAGACTGATTTTTTGGGGGGGAGGCCGGTTGTGGGGCCTGAACTATGGGCCTGGGTGCTGTCCCTCAGCTCTTCAGATCAAGGCTAGCTCTCTACCACTTGAGCCACAGCACCCCTTCCAGCTTTTTTCTTTTTGCTTATTTGGTGCTGAGGAATCAAACCCAGGGCCTCAGGCATGCAAGGCAAGCACTCTACCACTGAGCCACCTTCCCAAAGACTGATTTGTTATCTCACAAAAAATATTATTGAAGACTCAAACTTTTCCTACTCTATACTACTATTCCTATTATATAGTATCCTACTATATATAAACTCTAATAGTATTCCAATCTATTCCCAATGCATCTGTAATAGGAAGACCCCTACTCAGGCAGGCAAGCCCACCTAGTCATCAGGAGTGACAGAGCCCACCTCAACTAAATTGTTAATATAGACGCAACTTTATTGAGAAGGTTCCTACGCTGACCAGCCAGGGCTGCAGCACAGGCTCGGGAGCTGATACTGCAACCCTGAGCGGCCCCCATTCTTTGGTTTTTAAAGGCAAAATCCATGAGTTTGAGCCTGGTCACACTCAGGTGACTAATGGGATTGTAACACATATAAAGGAATGTATGATCATACCAGACCACATACAGGTGGCCAATAGGTGGAGTTTACCGTAAGCATGTGCAAAAGGCAGGGTTTACCATAAGCATGTGGTATCACCAGTTGGAGCCAGATTACAACCTCTGTGTTTTATGGGTCAGGTCTTTTTTTTTTGGGTCCAGTCA